CTGGACAGGCAGCGTGTGTGGGCACGGCGAGGAGCTGCCGTCTGTCCATCCCTCCCTCTACCTGCACACACCTGGACAGGCAGCGTGTGCGGGCATGGCGAGGAGCTGCCGTCTGTCCATCCCTCCCTCTACCTGCACACACATGGACAGGCAGCGTGTGTGGGCACGGCGAGGAGCTGCCGTCGCAGCCCAAGTAGAGAGCAATGGGCCACCCGATTCTTACCATGTTCTCACCAGACCACGCCTGCACTCGGCCTTGGACCTCCAGGTCAGACCTGTGAGAAACACACTCCTGTTGTTTAAGCCGCCAGCCTGCGGTGCTCTGTCACGGCAGCCAAACTGGCTAGACCCTGAGTGTGTCCAGGCGCCATGCAAAGGTGTCGTAAGCGATGACAGTCACCCCCAGCCATGGATTCACCTTCCGAGGTTTCAGATTCCCAAGGTCAACCAAGGTCCAAAAGCACTGAATGGAAATTCCAGCAATCAGCAATTCTTAAGTTTTAAACGGCACGCCATCCTGAGTAGCGTGGCGACATCTCGCGTCGTCCCGCCCCGGCCTGCCCGGTGTGAATCCCCTCTGTCGGAGCGCCCGGGTCACCCACCGCACCTGCCTGTGAGTGGCAGCAGCATCTGGGCGTCGGGTCAACCGCCGCGCCTGGCAGGGACCCTCGTCCACTCCCTGGCGGCCCAACGCGGTGGGCGTGCTGGCCGTTCGGATGCGCCAGAGAAGCCGCGAAGAGCTTCCCCGAGGGGAAGGTGACACTCGGTAAGGAGGAAACATCGTGCACTGAGGTTGCTGCGATCTGAGATGAGAACCAGTCTTCTACCTGTGAAATCCCAAAGAAGGAAAAAGAAATCCACGCTGGCTTTGCTGCCAAGATGGCAGCCACGGCATGGGACAGGTGCTCAGCAGAGATGATAGGCGCAGGTTTGTGGGCGGGACACAGAGGCGTGCTCCGACTGGCGCAGGCGGCCTGTTCCAGGTACCAGGTGTCTCAGGGGTGCTGGATGTGTCTCCCGGGCACGTGGAGGGCCCGTGCAGGGCTCTGCTCAGAGCGGAGCACGCGGCCTTCCTCCCGGGTCCCGTCTCCCGCTGGGACACCGGCGTGCCCCCTGCAGCTGGCGGTTGTCCCAGAAGGAGCGATGGCAGCGTGTGCTCAGGGCGGCGGGAGCCTGCACCCTGGAGCTCTCAAGCCGACATAGCAGCCCTGGGCGGCTGCCCTGTGATTGCGTCTAAGGTACGGGTGTGTGCGTGTGTGCATGTGTGTGCACACACGTGTGTGCATGTGTGTGCATGTGAACTTTCCACTTGTAGCCAAACACAATCCTAACTGACATGTGGCCTAAGGCCTGGGCTCACATGATTCCTGACTGGCAAGCCCCTCCTCTTATCCCTTGGTCACTGCCCTGGAGCTCATCTGCAAAGGCGCCATGTCCCTGCAGGACACACCCCACCAGGCTCGTAAGTGACACGATTTCAGGATGCAGCTGAGGGGCGTGAGCGTGTGTGTGTATCTGTGTGTATGTATACATAGTGCTACATAGTTATATCTTATTATATAAAATAAGATATAAATGGTGTAAATAAAATGATTCACATCAATATTTAGATTGCTCGTTCCACTAATTCACTGTGAATTTCATTCCTCTATTAACAAAAAAACAAGGTGACAAGTGTCTGTGTGTGTTCCAAATGGACTGGCTTTCCAAACCGACCAATTCCAACAGAGTCACGGGTGAGCTGTGATAACCTGAGCCCCCCCCCCCGCCCCCCTCGCCCCAAGTGCAACTGGCCGGGTGGGCAACTGCAGACCAAGGCGCTGTGTTCTTAAAGAGAAGCAGAAGCTTAAAATAGCCGTATGTGGGCTGCAGGCAGACGCTGGGATTGTGGACCAGCTTGCTACATCAGATTGCATCCGGGCTGGGTGGAGAAAGAAGTATTTAAATTCCTCTCTGTTCTCCGAGTGCTGTGGAATCCTCTGCAGCACAGACAGATGGAAGTGCACTGCAGAGGGGTTGGCGCTCGTACGAATATCTATTAAGTGGGCTGCACACTTCACACTGGGCCCAGGGGGCCCCAAGACAGGCCCGTCTTCCCAGTAATTTGCAAGAATGTCCCTTTAACTGATTATTGGTAACTACACTAGATGGCCAGTGATAGCTTGAATCTTTTTCTGATGTCCCAGAGCCATCCAACAGTTGGAGCCACCAGGAGACTTCCGGGGAAGCACATTTAGCCAGCACGCTCCTCCTCTCCCCACGCTGGGGACGGGGACTTGAGCTGACCACCCACGGCTCGGCCAGCAGGTTCAGGCGGGCCCAGAAAACCCTGAGATTTATTTCTTGTGGGCAACCCAGGGCGCCCCCACCCCCGCTCCTGGACACGCCACAGTGGGCGGGTGGGAAGACAGCTCCATTTGTCAAATCGCCGGTCAATTGCACCAGAGGCAAAAGTTTGGGAAAAACTGGCGAATGCACCCCGTGGGGATCACCATGCTCCTGATGCGTTGCTTTCTGTCTCTTTGTCGTGGCTCCACAGCCTCTCTATCAGAGGGAGTCACCATCTGTCCACACCTATCTGCGTTTTTTGGTCAGACATTTCCCAGCCCCAGCCCTCCTCCCGCCCCCACACCCTCCCATCTAAAAATACATTTCCTGGGCCGGGCGCGGTGGCTCTTGCCTGTCATCCTAGCACTCTGGGAGGCCGAGGCGGGCGGATCGCTCAAGGTCAGGAGTTCGAAACCAACCTGAGCAAGAGCGAGACCCCGTCTCCACTAAAAATAGAAAGAAATTAATTGGCCAACTAAAAATACATAGAAAAAATTAGCCGGGCATGGTGGCGCATGCCTGTAGTCCCAGCTACTTGGGAGGCTGAGGCAGGAGGATTGCTTGAGCCCAGGAGTTTGAGGTTGCTGTGAGCTAGGCTGACGCCATGGCACTCACTCTAGCCTGGGCAACAAAGAGAGATTCTGTCTCAAAAAAAAAAAAAATACATTTCCTGGTATCAGGCAGGGAGTGATCCCACGCCAGCCCCAAGGATCTTAGGGTGAAGGAGCCGTTGTCTTGCCTTGGAAACCTCCCAGGGCCAGGAACGCGCGATTTCGCTTTTGTCCCAGAGCACCAGGGCCGGGAGGGCCACTGAGCTGCAGGAAGAGCCGGTTCCAGCAGCGGCCCTGGGCCCTGGGGCATCTCTTCTGCACTCACACCGCTCCGGACAGTCCTGGATCCCTGCTCTGCACCTGTCTCCAGGGACGGTTTGTGAGCCGCCTGAGCCGCCCCTGGTTATTTCTGGACTTCCACCGAAAACCGAACGCCCAGCCTTCTCTCGGACTGCATTCACCCGAAAATCCCAGACAACTCTGGCCTGGCTGTGGAAGGAAAACCCAGTTCCAGGGTCAAGCAGTTGACACCCACGAGGACGGCGGCCGGGACTAAGAGGAGAGCCATGTCTGTGTCTGAGACGGACTGCTCGGGCCGCACACCCAGACACGGCAAACTCTGGAGAAAGTTCCAGAGGACTTTCCAAACGTGTTTGAGGCAGGTCGCTGCCATTCTTGGAAGGGAGCCCGGCCTCCCAGGGGACTGACCGCTGGGGCACGACCGAGGCCTGGAACATGTGCGAGTCACTTGTCACACTGCAGCTGCTCAGCCTGCCGCGGGAGAGTCCCTGGAGGCCTGGCTGGAGACCAGAGTCTGGAGCTTTCCGCAGACCTCCCAGCCCAGGCCGAGGGAGCAGGGAGCAGGAGTGGGGAGCAGGAGTGGGGAGTGGGGAGCGGGGAGCGGGGAGCGGGGAGCAGGGAGCAGGGGTCGGCATGTGCTCTCACGCTCTCTGGATGGAGTCGGGGAATCGCAGCTTTATTGCTGTACCTCGGTTTTCAGAGAATGGGGCCAGCTCTGGGTGGCCCCCGGCACGCTGCCCTGCACAGGGCCAGGTGGGGCCAGCGGGAGCCACCAAGTGTAGACCCCTCCTATGTCAGCGCGGTGAGGGGCCGACCACAAACCCCCGAAAAGCAGTAAGCTGGGGCACGGGGGGCGCTCTCAGGTGCTGTGCCAGGCGCTCCCACGTTCCCCTCTAGCCCTCCTGCCACCTGCAGGCGGGCGCACCCAGGCCATGGTCTCACGGCTGTCGGCACTAATGAGTCAGACGCCACCTGTCCTTGTCACTGCCACACTGCCTCTGATGAAAGTTCAGGGCCGCACCAGTGACCGCAGCTCTGCCCTTGGACAACTGGGGTCAGAGGACAGACCAGGTGCGGCACTCCCGTTGTTGAACTCTTCCACAACCCTTCTCTCAGAGAAAGCACGGTGGTGCCCGCACGGTCCATGCGGGAGAGACGGCGGGAGCCTACTCGTTGTCCGCGGTGGCCGCAGGTGTCCTCTGGGGACAACGCACAGGCCCCTGTCCCTCCGCCCGAGAGCAGAGCAGACGGCCCGTGCGGGGCTCTGGGAGGTGGGGCCGGAGACGCGTCACCAGGGTCTGGGGGCCCAGGTCACGCCCCCACTGGGCAGGCAGCCCCGGCGGCTGGGGTCCCTGGCCAGACGATCGGGACCCCGCCGGCCATCCTGGAGAGGGCCTGGGAGCTGGCTCCCGACCCGTGACCCTGCACACACGCTCACACGCGTGCACAACACTGGAAATACTAGTTGTCGTTGCATTTCGTTACTTTGTGTCCACCTTCAACGAGGTCAGAGACAGGACCACTGGAGACTGTGCAGGAAACACACGGAAAATGGTCAACCTGTTTCTTATAAATTTCCAAGTGGGTTTTGGATGCCAAATATCATCCCGTTAGTAGATCCGCACGATGGGATGATATTCCGGAAATTCCGACCCGTGCCACAGCACAGACGAACCCTGAGGCCGCAACGACAGGTGAATAGGCCAGTTAAGAAAGGGCGGTGGCTGCAGGGACCCTGGGAGGAGCCCCAGAAACGCCAAACCCACCGCAGACAGGAAGCGGAAGGGGCAGCCAGGGCTTGGGAGGAGGGGACGGGAGTCAGCGCGTCACGGGGACAGGGTTTCAGTTTGGGGGGTGGAAAAGGTTCTGTGGATGGACGGGCCCCTGTCCCTCCGCCCGAGAGCAGAGCAGACGGCCCGTGCAGGGCTCTGGGAGGTGGGGCCGGAGCGACCTCACCAGTGTCTGGGGGCCCAGGTCACGCCCCACCGGGCAGGCAGCCCGGGCGGCTGGGGTCCCTGGGCAGACGATCCGGACCCCGCCGGCCATCCTGGAGAACAGCATGGATGTACTTAGCGCCGCTGAACTGCACACAATAGCTGAGATGGTCACTCTCGTGTTCTGTGTATTTTACCACAGTAAGCACCCGCCCCCAATCCGGGCCAGCGTTATTCTCTCTGTCCAGTCCCGCTCGGTCCCTGCCACCCGGCTGTGGGGCTCACGCAGCAGCCCCCACCACCGAGCTGAGCCTTCCTGGAGTAACTGGAGTCTCAGCCTGTCCCCCGTCAGAAGCCGGCCCCGAGCCGCTGCATCCTGCGTGACCGGAGCGTCCTTCCTGTCTTTGTCCCAGACCAGCCTGTGCAGCTTGGGCCGTGGCCCCTGGTCCCCACTGTGTGTGGGGAGCACGTGCCGTGTGCGTGGCGTCGCACCCGAGCCTCTCACCTAGATGCTTAGATGACAAAAGACCCAGGAAGGTGACATTCGGTCCCGCCCCACCCCGCATCTTCCCGACGCTTCCTGCAAACCCCTCGGACCCAGCAGGGAGGACGGTGGTGGGGCCGAGTCCCACACTGCACTGATGGACGCTTGGCCACCTGCGCAGTCTGTCCTCAGAGCACCGCGTGTGCGTGTATGCGTGTGTATGTGCGTGTGCGCGTGCCGCTTTAGCAGGACGGGAGATTGAAGTGGCGTCGGCCGTGAGGGTATGTTGCTCGTTTACTTCGAAAGCAATTGCTCGTCTCAGCCACAGTGATGATGAAGCCCGAACTCCGTTTTGCTATTTCGCCCCCAGAGCGTTTGCCAAAGACCGGCGCGTTCCCTGACCGGCGGCCACGCCAGGCAGCGTTAGGTGACATTTTTCTTCCACTGCGTGTTTGGGCCGAGCCGGCCGTGTGGCTTCAGAGCAGACACCGAGAGGAGACGCAGCCTGTTGGGCGGGGAGGCGGCAGCGTGGCCGTCCCTGAATAGGACTCGCTAGGCTCTTTCATGTGCTCTCGCCTTTCCGGCCCTTTCTGAGACGTGGCTCCCCTTTCTGAGACGTGGTTTCCCGCCTGCGGGCAGCGCCTCCTCCCGCTAGAAAGCTGGCGGGGGAGGGAAACCTCCCGTGCAAGCCCGGCACCCCCAGCTTGCTCCCTTCCGGCAGCAACTTGCTCATGCGGGCAGGGACGTCTGCAAAGCATTTGCAGGACACACGGAATCGCACGGGACGCAGGGGTGATGCAGACGCAGGTGCCGACCCTGGCGTGCGTGGGCGGTGGGGCCCGCAGAGCCAGGGCAGACAGGTGCAAACAGGTGCAGACAGGTGCAGACAGGTCAGAGAGGTGCAGACAGGTGCAGACAGGTGCACAGCTGCCCTCCCGGCAGATGGTGTGCTCTGAGGCCCCCAGGGGCCAACACTCGAGAGGGGAACCACGCAGGGTCCCTCCGCACGGAAGTGGAGCAGCATCCAGGTGGTTTCCAAGCAACAGGAGGCCCGACCGGGCGGGGCCCACAGCCGCCCCCTCGAGCTCCGTGAGAGAGGAGGAGCTCCAAGAGCTCACTTTTCAAGAACACGTGAAAGGCTCTCCGCTGGCATGACGACCTCGGAGCTGGGTCAGCTGGGCAGAGGGGCGCGAGCCCGGCTGCCCAGAATGGGGTCAGGCCGTGGACACGTTAAGGTCTCCGGCCACCTTGGTCCTGGGAACGGCCCCGCTTGCTCCCCTGCAGGAGTCCCGGCGTCAGGGCCCTGGAGCGTCGAGAGCTGGGACGGAGGAGGCTTCTCCTCTCCCTCTGCCCGAGCTGGGCCTGGAGACCGCAGAGCTGCTGGTCCTGACATGGGGCGCCCAGACAGACACCCAGCAGGCCCTCCCTGCCCGGCAGTGTGAGGAGCAGACCAGGCCAGTTTCCACGGAGGATGCTGAGCCGATTAAAGAGTGCAGGCAGCTGTCTGGGCAGCCGTCTGGGCAGCTCGGGCCCCTCTGACCCAGACATTAGAGGCTGCCCAGACCGCAAAGCCAGCCTCACTTCTCAGTCTCAGACCAGCTGGCCGTGGACCTGGGAATGTGGAGGAGACGCTGGGAACCCGGGGCCCAGCGCAGAGGAGGCTGACCCTGCACCCTCTCGCACAGGAGGGAGGCCAGGCCGCGGCCTCGGATTGCCGGGGTGCTCGGTAAGCCCCCAGCTCCCGCCCCTGGGGACGCCCGGCCACACCGGAGTCCAGACACAGTCAGTCCCCAAGGCGCGCCAGACACCCCGAGAGCTCCTGCCCTCCCCAAGGACACCCCGCCTGGCGGGGGAAGGCGCCTGCAGTGGCCTCTGCCGCACGGCAGACGGGGCGCGTGGGGGTCACTGCAGAGGCCGGGCGGAGCCTCAGCGTGTCCGGCCTCCCCTCCTGCACCCCAGCCAGGCAGACGGGGCCACAGACCCACCCCTCCCTGACCTCCTGACGCCATCTCACCGGGCGTGCGCCCTCCCGTCTACAGACGCCACAACACGGCCACAGCAGCGACGTCCCCACGGCCTGCTGGAGCCCCCAGCCCACCACTGACATCCTCAGCCCTGAGCTGCCGCCACGGAGGGACCACGGGGCGGGAGAGGCCGTGGGGCACCCACCGCTCCCTGGACTGGGAAGCACCTGCTCGGGGGCGGGCCCCTCCAGGGTCCCCCTGCCTTCTCCTGCTCACGACCAGGGCACACGGTGTCTGGTGGTCTCCAGGCTCCTCCCACGGACACCCCGAGACAGCCCACCCCCCAGGAGGGCTCTCCGGGAGGGCCCGTCCCTCTCCTGGCACCGGGATGTCGGCCGGGGGTGAAGCTCTGCACCCCGCATTGCGCGGCCCAGGGGAAGCGAAAGGCCGCCCTTTCCGGGGGCGGCTTGTCTCAAAGTCCACGACTCCTCTCCGTTTTCCACCAGAGGCCTGGGAGGGTGGAAGACACGAGCTCAGCACAAGGAGAGCGTTAGCTGGGTTCTCTCGGGCAGGAAGGGGCAGGGGAGCACCACGTGAAACTGCGCGTGGCAAAAGGAACGGACGCCGGGCCGGGACCAAACCCACGAGCTGGACTTCCGACCTCAATGGCAACGGCCGAGCCGGCGTCGGGGGCTGCGGACGGGTGGGCCCACCCGCAGAGGCTGGCTCGGAATGGGGCCTGTCTGACTGAACCAGTTCAGGCCTGCTCCTCTGAACTAAACAATGACAAACTTCAAGTCGCTGTTCAACTCGGTTTGGAACCCGGGTGCTGAGGCTTGCGGCAGGCGCCTGCCTGGAAGTCCCAGTCCCCGTCAAAATGAGCTCACCCCCAGACAGGCAGACTCGATTCAATAAAACCTTCCCTTTCTAGGTCAGTTCTTTTTTATTTTTTGAGTCAGAGTCTCACTCTGTTGCCCAGGCTAGAGTGAGTGCCGTGGCGTCAGCCTAGCTCACAGCAACCTCAATCTCCTGGGCTCAAGCGATCCTCCTGCCTCAGCCTCCCGAGTAGCTGGGGCTACAGGCATGCGCCACCATGCCCGGCTAATTGTTTCTATATATTTTTAGCTGTCCAATTAACTCCTTTCTATTTTTGGTAGACACGGGGTCTCGCTCTTGCTCAGGCTGGTCTCAAATTCCTGAGCTCAAGTCATCCTCCCGCCTTGACCTCCCAGAGTGCTGGGATTACAGGCGTGAGCCACCGCGCCCGGCCTCCGGGTCAGGTCTGCAGCCCACCGGGTGTTCTCTCGCCCCAGTGCATGTTTTCCTTCCTCGCCACGCCTTCCTCTCAGGAATGAGGCGTTGACGCCGCTTCTCTGCTCCAAAAGAAACAGAGAAACAGCCTGACCAAGTGTCCTCACCAGCTTCCCGGCTAACAGCACAGAGCACTCAGTATCTAAACGGAAGACCGTCCATAGCCAGCGTGCACTCCCGGCTCCAGGGCGGTCAGCGCAGGGCAGCCGAGGGGAGCCCTAAGCCTGGCCGGTCCGTGCGCGGCCTGCACTGAGAATCACCGTTGCCTCCGTGCGCGGGTGTGGTCGGCGGTCCCCGTGGGCATGCTGGCGTGACTTTGAGGCCGGCCCGTGGGTGGAGTCACGTCACAGGAAGCCCCTCTAGCCGACACTGCAGGAGAATGAGACAAGCAGTAAAACCACGTGCATCTGAACCCGCTCGGATTTCTCTGCAGGAAAGAAGTCTAAGACTCTCAGAGACTCGGGTTCTAGTTGAAGCGGAAAGAACTCAGAAAACAGCAAGGTGCTCTCTGTCCCTGTCACTCTCATCTGTCCAGTGCACACTGGGTCAGCCCTCCTCCACCTCCTCGCCGGTGTGACCTGTGGAAGCCACGGAGAGCCAGGCAGGGGCTTGCTCTGCGCCGGGCCCAGCCGAGGGCCGCGGGGACATGGACGGCTAGAAAGACATCTGCAAGACTGGGTCAGTGGTAATCCTGAACGTTAAACTTCACTCCCGGCTCTGACCTAAG